TATACCACTGTGGATTTTCTTGCTTCAGCTCTAATTCCTAAATCACCGTCTCCGTCAAATAAGTCAAATATGACGACGTTTTTAACAGACGGTCCTTAAACTGGGAATTCTGGGTCAAAAAAAGGATTAAAATAAAAGAATTAAAATTATATTTATGACTAAACAGTAGATTTGCATTAGTTGTTAAGAAGAGTAAGAGTAAAGACTTTTAGTACCAGACGTGAAGCAGCAGCAGCTCACGACTTCATGACTCCTCGTCTCTGTCTCTGCCGTCAGCACCAACATTAAAATGTGAGACAGACCCTGTTGGAGGGCTGGGGGGGGGGCTCTCCTGCCTCTGGACAAACAGTGTTTAAACAAATCCCATTGTTTTCGGAGGATGTGTGAATTTAACTCCCTCTGATGTTTACGTTCACTGTCGTTCAGTGGAGCCACGTGTTAGAAACGTAGAAGCAGCAACAGCAACCAGCAGCAGCGGCGGCGGTAACAGCAGCAGTAACAGCAGCAGCAGTAACAGCATCAGCAGCAGGCTGTGTGTGAACTCCCAGGTATTACACATGCACACCGTGTCGCCGTTTGTGTTTCTTTGTAGCTGCGCGGGGGCAACACGCTCACACCCGAGTGAGCGAGCGTCTGACAGGCCCAGTGAGAGAACACAGCCCCCCCCCATGTTACCTGTCATGTGCATAAAGGCAAACAGGTGTGATAGAAGGACCAGACTGATTTTAAATGTCTTCCAGCTAGCACACTGCACTACTGTTTGAGCTGTGGAATTAAACCAGGTATCCAAAACCCACATCCCACCTCTTGTCCAAACATCATTCATTGCTGAGGAGAAAGACGGCACTGTCTAACGGAGGTCGACTCAGACTCTCGCAATGTGAACTCTATTTTTATAAGACAACAACTGCATTACCAGCTTCCCACAAGCTTTTGCTGAAACCGTGGGACAAAGTGGGGTTTCAGTTTTTCCCCCCATGTTCCTCTCTGTCAGGCCGTGTACTGTGCACCATGATCACCACAGAGGCCTGGGATCAGAACCACAGAGACTCACTGTTCTGGCTGTCAGTCAGAGCAGGGCAGAGTGGAGCAGTCAGTCAGTCAGTCACTCAGTCAGTCAGTCAGTCACTCAGTCAGTCAGTGCCTCAGGCAGTGATGATAAGGCCCTGCAGCTACAGACTGAGATCATGTCATAGTCCCATCAGCTGATGTTCAACATAACCTCCCATGTCAGCACAAATCCAAAAATGACAGAGGTGATTTATGTGGCTGCCTAACAGCAATAAGATCACTGGGTTGCTGGTTCGATTCCCGGTCTCCATGTATGTTTCCGTGGTCTGTGATGCTGCAGGAAACTCCAGTTTCTTGGGTTGATGGTTCACTCTGTGTTAATGAGCAGGTGATGGTTGTTGGAGCCCAGTGATGGACTGGTTTTAATTGAACATAAACACGTTAGTCAACAATTAAAAGACTATAAATATGTACTTTAATTATTTTATGTCCTGATATGAGATTTAAAAAATGAAAAAATTCAGAGTAAATAACTTTTCACTTATTCCTCTGTGTTCACCAGAAAAGATCAGTGTCTGACAAACAATTTAGAAATGGAAATAATATGAAAACTCTGTGAGTCACATCGTCACACTGTGGTCGCTCCTTATGTTTGGCTGAAACAATAACAATCAGGAGATTCATATCCATTTTTTGATCCACCTCAGGCGACACCTCATTAATCATAAAACTCAGTGCAATCTTAAAACCATCCTGTGTTTCAGCGTCTCTCATCCATCTGTCTCTCCATTTGTCTGCGGCCTTATGAAGAATAGTGAGTAGATTGATCCTTTCAGCTTTTATGTGCCATCAGTAAAACCAGTCACTGTGTAATGAATGAGTTTGGAATTAAATCAACTCGCTGTGAAAAGTCATCCTTCACCTTGGAAAACACACAACGTCACTAAATATCTGTGAATCTGTGAAATTAACGTTGATATTCAGCCGCAGTCCAGTTTATCAACCGTGAGGTACAAACTGTGGTGCAGGGGTCAAGTGAGGGTCTCTGGGGTTTGGTCATTAATCCATATGTTGGTGTGGTTTGTCCTGGTGTTTGAAATGCACCGTGAATCCCTGTTCTTTTTGGTCAATGTTTCACTGTCTTGATCCTAAACCTACAGGATTATGTTGATTGTTAACTGATGTACAGGAGTGTGAGTGTGAATAATTACCTGGCGTTTATCACATTAATACATCACCTGAGTTTTTTCATATTAGTAATATGATTAGTCAAAAAACGATGTTTAATGAACTGATTTTTTTCCTCTTTCTGTTTCTTGGTTATACAGAAAAAAAATCTAGAAATGTAAAAATTAATCTTCGTTAATCACGATTTATCACGATTCAAGTTCCACTTTCTTTTTGGATTTACGGTGTTCAGAATTATCAACCACTGCATGGAATCTTTGTCCTGATGCTGCGTAGGAAACAGAACAGACAGAATGAATCAATCAGTTGTGTGTGGATGTCCATCTCCTCCTGTCTGTGGAAACCAAGTAGACAGAGGCGGGTCGGGGAGTGGGTGGG